GTGGAATGAGGATTACCTAGTTCGAACTAAGCGCTCCATTAGTTCGAATTAAATTCGAACTAACGGAGCGCTAGTGTAGCGCCTATGAAAGTTAGTTCGAACTAACTTTGTAGTGTAGACATACCCTGTCTCTCCCTGGCCAAAGGGACTTTAGGGTTTTGTCAGCAGAGGGCGGCAGGAAGAGAGCTACATGGTAGCTGTTCCTGCAGGGAGGGAAGGAGCCCCCAGTACCGTCCCCATGAAATCTCTGTAGCTGTCGGGGCTTTGGAGAGACAGAATCCCGGGTGGGCCGGCAGGGCTGCTCCATACCTAGCTCTCCATTGTGGGGTGACCTGGTCAGCAGGCTTTAGCCTTTCATACCCGGAGCCCCACACACGTCCCCCATACCAGACACTTACCTGTGCAGCTAAAGGGGGCACTGGACTTTCTGGGCGGGAGGTAGCCTGCCTGGCACGTGCAGGTGTATCTGCCCAGCGTGTTTCTGCAAATGGAGTTGGGGCCGCAGGGCGATGGATGGTGGGAACATTCATCAATATCTAGGTGACAGAATCCAGGATGGCCATTTGTGACCCTAGCGCACCAGTGTTCTACTGCCCCAGGTTCTACTCACTGACCCAAACCCCACTGGATCCAGTGGGAATCTTCCCATCAGCCCCAGGGGCCTTTTGCATCCGTCACTCTGCTCCTGCATGAACTGGCTCTCACCATTGCGCTGCACTGCTGAGTCAGTGAAGCTCTGCTCCCCGGAACTGGATGCAAAGCCGGGCTTGCAGGGGCAGCAGTGGCCCCCTGGGATGTGGGTTCAGGTAGCATCCTCAAATCACATGGCTGAATTCAGATGGGCCCAGCTCTGTACAACAGAGCCTTCTCTTGGTGAGAGGATGGTGGGGAGGGAGAAGGCAGGCCCAGCAGCTGGCATCAGAGGGGGCACCATGCCAGGAATATGGTTCCCTTCAAGTTTCCCCCCTAGAGGGAGCAGTGTTAGTGGCCCGGTAAGTGACAGCCTGGGTTCACTTCTCAGTTCTCACTGAGAATTGGGAGCTGGAGCAGAAAGGAGACAGGAGAGGGGGAGTCTGGACTCCTGGGTTCAATTGCTGGCGGTGGGCTAGGAAAATGGAGCATTGGTCCCAGCAGGATGGTACGCAAAAAGGACTGTTGGGTTCATGGGCAGCAGATGTAAGGGGCAAGGGAAGGTATTTCCTTTTCTGGGTCTTAGTGCTCACCCACTCCCTTCTTCCTACTCCTATTCTCACTCTTCCTGCAGGCTCCCACTGCTGTCTGGGGCCTGCAGACTCTTCCATCTAGTAACTTAAAAAGGAAAAACACTTCCAGCTCACCATACCGCTTAGCAGAATATTTATCTTTATATATATTAAAGAAAGTTTCTCTGGGGGATGACAGAGTTCTGCCGGCCTTCCCCCTCTCTCTCGCTCTTACCTCTCCCCTCTCTCAGCTCGAGCTCAACCTTGCTGGTGCCCCTCCACACTAGGAATTGCTGTTTTAAACAAAGCTAAGACGGCAGCCCTGGGCTCTGCAGGTAGGGCTGGGGCAGTGAGCAGTGCAAGCGGGACCATACCACAGTCCCACACTGCTGCTTTCTCCATATTAGCAGGCTGTAATATCCTGGAGCGCAGCATGCACACGGCACTACCTGCACCTCACTGTGCCCGGTGGCAGATGACCATTCCATGGGGCCCAGGGCAGCACAATTTCATGGGGCCCCCCTTTGCCACGGCAGATGCGTGTGGCTTCTTGAAGCGCAGGGCCCCGGGGCAGTCGCCCCGCTCGCCCTGCCCTATATCGCCCAACTGTGCCCTACACAGGGCGGGAAAGCACCCCTACGCCGGGATTAGACCCAGGCTTAGTGTACACTCTTCCTGGGAGAGAGGGGGTGAGTGGTTGCGGGGAGAGAAAGGGCCCGGGCTGGTGGGGAAAAGGGGGGGAGGAGGAGCATGAAGGAACCCTGGCTTACAAGGCAAAAGGAGGGAGAAGGATTAAGGGCTGGCAGGGGGATTGGGGAGTCAGGACTCCTGAGTTGTGTCCCCAGCTCTGCCACAGACTCCCCATGTGACCTTTACCAAATTTTTTCCCTTCTAGAGGGCTCAGTTTCCCCACATGAGCAGGAATACAATCTAGTTGTCTCTCCCCAGATCCATGGGAAGATGGAGGTGTCCATGCACACAGGGGCTGTGGGGTTTAGTGAGCAGAGGATGGGAGGAAGTGAGCTGCGTGGCAGTGGATCCTTTAACTAGTCAGGCTGGGTGGGAAGGACCCTCATGAAATCGCTGCAGGCATAGCACCTAGTGTTCAGGTGCAAGTAGGAAGAGGTGCGGGGGGGCAGGCAGAGCTGCTCTTGCATGGGAACCACAAGAGAACCAGCAATAGCCTCTTACACCCAGAGATTCCCTGTACCCCACATCAGACACTTACCTTTGCAGCTGAAGGGGGCACCAGACAGGCTAGGAGGGAAGTAGCCTTCTCGGCACGTGCAGGTGTAACTGCCCGGTGTGTTGGTGCAGATGGAGTTGGGGCCACAGGGCGATGGGTCTCGGGAACATTCGTCAATATCTAGATAAGGAAGAATCCAGGTTAGCCACGTGTGACACTAGCACACCAGTGTTCTACTGCCACGGGCCCCTCACACTGACCCACACCCATTGGATCCAGTGGGAATCTTTCCTTCAGCCCCAGGGGCCTTTTGCCTCAGTCACTCTGCCCTGTGCCTGAACTGACGTGCTGCTCCCCAGAACTGGATGCAAAGCCGAGCTTGCAGAGGCAGCAGTGGCCCCCTTGGGTGTTTGTGCAGGTGGCATCCTCAAGGCACAACACGTAATACAGACGGGCCCAGCTCTGCACAACCTCTCTTGACAAGGGGATGGGGAGAGAGAAGGTAGCACCAGCATCTGGTTTCAGAGGAGCACTGTGTCAGGAATATGACTCCCAGCAGGTTTGCAATATGCTGCCCCCTCTCAGAGGCAACAGTGCTAGTGGCCTGGGAAGTGGATTCCAGGACACCTGGGATCTAGACATGAAAGCAGGGGACTGTGAAGTCAGGATTCCTGGGTTCTGTCCCAAGCTCTGCCACAAACTCCACACGTAACCTTTGCCATGTCCTTTCCCTTCCAGAAGCCTCAGTTACCCAGATGTGCAGGGAGAAAATCCTGTTTTCCAGATCTGATTTTCTATTATTGTAGGGCCACACCCTGAGGGGTGAAGCCCCGCCAGCTCCCCCTGCAACCAATGGGAGTGGAGTTTCTTCCACTGTCACTCAGCACCTCGCAGGAGTGGCCTGAGGCCAGCTGCGGCAGCTGGTGCCCTAGGCAGAAGGTGCAATTTGCGCCCCCACTTGCATGGCCGTCAATGGCTGTGATGTAATCACGGGGCGCCCCGGTGCCCTGTGACGTCATCATCAGGCGCCCAGGCCTGCTGCGCGCTAAGCAACAGCCTAGTTTGCCTAGGTCCACGGGCCGCCCCTGGGTGCTGGTGTTCATTCATAGAGCACCACAGATATCTGCGGCACTGCCTTACCCCAGCCTAGGGCCTTGTCGGCACTGCAGCTACAGCTGCAATTCCCAGCCTGGGCAGACACATGCTCACCAGCTCTGTCTGGGCTACATAGCAGCGCAGCCACTGTGCAACTCAGGCTGCTGCCCCAGCACACACCTGGGATCTGGGACAGGCAGTTCTATGATACTGGCCCATCCGCTCCCTTGCTCCACCAAGGGAGTGTCTGCTTGAGCTGGGCTTCGCACCTTTCTGCTGCCCTGCAGACATCCCCCCTGTCACAGCCACACAGGAACACATCCACACGCCTTCTTAGGGCTGGACTGAGGGGCCTGGTCCAGGCATAGAGGTTTTTGGTCTCATGGTGCCTCCCAGTAACAGATTCAGCCCGTTAGCTCAGGCAGCAGGGACAGTGGGACACAGGGTTTGGCGTCTTGGATCATCTTCAGCAGCCAGGGAAGAGCTGAGCAAATCCTGGATGTTTTCAGTACAGTGACCAAACCAGGATAAAAACAGCCAGGAGGAAATTGTCCGTACGTAACCTAAGGTGGATTTTTGGGGTCTTTTGTCACTGAAACAAACACCCCGAACGGTTTATCAGGGATCGAGCAAAATGTTGCCTTTCCCCCAACGTGAGGTTTTGGTTTTCTGTTTCTGTTTGGAAGTGGCTGGTTTGCATTTGGGTGGTTGGTTTTTGTTAGAACTAAAAATTAGCAAAATTTCCAGATGTAACCTCATGTAAAAGTAAAAAGCCAGAACATTGCATTCTGAAACAGTCACTAATGTCGCTGTCCCCAGTCTGAGGACCCAGCTTCAATGCTCGCCCGCAGGGGTGCTACTTTCAGACATTAGGGAGGCCAGGCCAACCCTTGGCCCAAGGAGTTCAGAGTCTAATGGACACCATTCCAGGCGCTGGCAATAGGGCAGGGGAGGAGGCCCCACTGGAGGGCTGGTGGACAGTCTCTGTGGAAAGTCTCTGTTCTGAGACTGCATGACTTTCAGGGCTCATCTAGACTACAGGGAATGGTCAAAAGAAGATATGCAAATTCCACAGGATTTCGAAAGTGGAGTTTTTGAAAGTAAAAGTAATTAAGATGTGGCTTTTTTGCCCAACCACCCCCTTTGCTGAAAAGCCTCTCTTCCTCAGAAAAGGAGGTTTATGCGGCTTTTCGACAAGGCGGGGGGGGGGAGGTTACCGAAAAAGTTGCATCTTAATTACTTTCACTTTTGAAGGTTCCACTTTCGAAAGTGCAACTGGAAGAAGATATGCAAATTCCCGTGGAGTGCTTTCCTGTCCGGGCCTTTGCCAAGAAGCTGCCTCGGGAGACAGCCAGGGGCTGTCCTGTGCAGGAAGGAAGGGTGCCAGGCACTTTCTCGCCTGCTCTTGAGCTGGGGATTGTGCCCTAGGAAGGGCCGGCGATTGACTCCCATCCTCTTCCCGAGCTGAGTGGATGAACCAGCTTTTGGGCTGGGGATGAGAATCCCATGAGAACCGCTCCCCCGTGCCAGGGTGCTTATCACCTGGGGTGCCAGGGTGCTTATCACCTGAGCTGCCAGAGGCCTAGATCTTGGCCAGACCCTCTTGTGAGCCAGACAGTGGCTGAGACCGGCTTTGGGTTTCCCAACACCACTGCGGTTGTTGCATCAGGTTCCATCTGTCAGCAGGCCGGTGTCTAAATGGCAGGCAATACCTGTTGGGGTGCCCCAGCGAGCGCGGCTTAACCCCCCTCCCCCCAGCAATGTGTTGAAGGGATCCCTGCTGATCCCTCCCTGGGTTAATGAGAGCAGGGATTGGGGCCTGAAGCGGTGGCTCCTTTGCTAGGGGTAGCTGGGGGGTAGCGCCCATTCCCACGTGGGGGTGACTGCCAGCTGCGGTACTGACCCCCCTACCCTCTGCCCTGTTAAGTATCAGTCCCAGCTGCTCGCAGGCAAACCTGGCATGTGTCGGGGAAGAGGCGAGAGAGATTTAGGAGCTGGACTGTCCAGGTGAGGCTTTCTCATGGCTCTGGGACAGACTGAGCGGTGCCCCTAGACCCGCTTGTCCTAATCTTCCCCCCTCTCCCCAGCCCTCACATCACCTTTGATTTGTAGGATATTCTGGGAACCTAGACAGGGAAGCATTTTACAGGAGCAGGACCCTGGGATGAGGTCA